GCCATTCTATGTGTAAGAAACATTAAAGAAACATTTCCAGATACACTAAAACATCTTTAACATAATAATACAGTAATAATAATAACAATGTTTTGATGTGTGTCACAAAGTAGCATCTGTTTGTCGTTATGAACCGCTTTATGTACCTCGAAGTTTTCATATAATAGGCTTTACAGGGGTTAGTTTGTAACTGTGGGTTGTATGTAACTTGGACGTTTGTAAACCGAGGATTGCCTGTAATCCTCTGTTCTCTGAGACATCTGGGCAGTGGCCCTGCCCTGCAGACTCTGGATGTTGGCCCCTCTGGATTCTGGGTGGAGGCCCCTGGGCCCTGGGCTTCAGCTCCACCTTCCAGGCCCTCCGGGATGGCAACTCTGCTCCCTTGGCTTTAGGCAGCCCCATTCTCCGAGTCCATCTGAGTGGCCACTCCACCCCTCGGGCCCAGCAGTCTGGAGACTTGGAGAGCTTGGAAATGCATCCACAGTCAGTCTGACTCCAGGGTTTCTGAATCACCCTGCTGTTATCGAATGATTTCTAATTGGGAATTTGTAGACTAGCAATTCTCTGTGATTCATTTTTCTTTAGAAACTTCTCTCTTTTTTTTTTTAGTTCTGACAGTGTTTTGGAGAAGTATCTTTAGAAGATGGATTCTCAAACTTGACTGGACTTTGGAATCACCTGGGAGTTTTAAGAAAATACTAAATGGCTGTGTCCCATCCCCAGAAATTTTGAGTTAATTGGTCTGGAATGTGGCCTGGGCATCTGGATTTTTTTAAAGATTTGTCCAGATGATTTCTAATATGCAGAGAGGTTTGAGGACTCCGCATTGGAACAGTGCAAGAGTTTTAAATTCTAAATTCCAACCTTCTGTTAGTAAAAAAAATTACGTAATTTTTTTTATTACAGAAGTACTACATATTTACTTTAGAAACTACATACAAACACACACACACACACACACACACACACACAAAAAGTAAAATGACCAGGAATCCCTTCATGGAAAGACAATCAGTGCAATATTTAGCTATGTATCTTTTTTTATTTACTTAATGCCAGATTGTTTTATGTCTGTGTTATATATTTACATCCTTTTCCAGACTGAGAAATTCTTGATTCTTATACACACATAGTAGTGTTGTTGGATTAATTTTTATAGGCCAGTAACTCTTTTTTTTTTTTTTTTTTTAATATTTT